CCATCGAGGCAGCAGCAGCAGCAGCACCAGGCCGCCAATCCGCGGGAGGTGACCGGCGGTGCGGGCATCGGAGGGCCTCTGGGCCAGCTTGGCGGACCGGCGGCACGAGCAGCGCCAGCGGCGGCGACAGCATCGTCGATGGGACCTGCAGCCTCGACGCACAACCCCTGGGCATCGAACACGGACTGGAGGCGGGAGATGGAGCTGGAACAGCAGAGGATCGGAGGGCGCGGCACTGGCCCGACTCGGATGGGCGCAGCAGGTGGACCGGCGGGGCTTGGGTCGCAGCCAGTGTTGGCGTCGGCGTCGGCCTCGGCGATGGGGACGCCGGGAGCGGACGACGAGGACAAGAAGCCGCTGGACCCCCTGGGGGTGCTGTGAGCGTCGCCGCTGTCGCTGTCGCTGTCGCCGGAGGTAGGCGATTAGAAAGGTGTGCAAGAGCGACTACTACTACGACCTTGTGCGTGCGGTGGCGGCTCGAGCGTCGTTGGAGCGTCTGTGTCTCCCCTGAGCCCGCGCGTGTGCCGTCCGTTGAGATTGCTGAGGGCGAGTCGAGTTGACGAGGCGGGACGAGACGAGGCTGAGCGCGGCGGACGGTGTCGACGGGCGGCGAGGCCGAAGTGCGTGGGCTGCGGCGGGGTGCGCTCCTTGCGTGGCTTGGCCTGTGCCTGGCTGTCCTGCCTTGGCGCGTGGAAAAGAAGGAGCGTAGCGTGGGCCTGTGTCGGTGGTCGGCGGTGCTGCCAAATCGGGGGGCGAGGGCGAGGCGAGGCGAGAAGACCAACACTCAGACAGGCCCAGCCAAGCCACGCCAGGCCACGCCAGGCAAAGCAGCCAGCAGCCAGCAGCCAGCCAGCCAGCAGCCCAGCAGGGACGGCACACGGGCCCACCCGCCTGTAGGCACGCAGACAGGCGTAGGCCGACCACAGGCCAGACCAGACCCGACCGCCCGACAGCCTCGCCCCCGCCGCGCGCCGGTGGCTGGCTGCCTCGTGTCAATCGCAACCTCGCTCGCAGCCTCGCTCGCAGCCTCGCTCTCTACCTCGCTTCCACCCGACCGACCCTCTACTCTCTCATTCCGGCTTCTTCGTCGACGACCGCCAACGGCACGCCTCCCTCTACGCTCCTTTGCTCGGCATCCGTTGACACTACCGCGGCGATCCGCTCGTCGGCCAAAGTCCCAGACACGCCGCACCTCGCCACGGCACACCCAGGACGACCAAGGCAAGATCGACGACGACGACGACGACAGGAGCGACGCGGCATCGACGTTACCTCGTCCGCGGTCCACAACCCTCATATACCGTTGTCTCGTCTCGGCGGGATACCGACGCTTGCCATCCGAGCTGGCGGGAATGCCGTCTCGCTGATCCATCGGCTCATCCCGCTTCTATCCATCAGCATCGTCACACTGCGGCATCTCCGACGCCCGCAGACCGCCTCTTCGACCCGGATCATCCCGACCGCCGGCATCGTACCCGCGCTGTGACCCGTCCCCGGCCTAGCAAAGTCGCAACGCCGCCTCGCTGCGCACCCGCCTGACGAGCAGAGGGCGACGGCGACGACCACACGGTCCCCTGCAGCCCCGCGCCGCCGTGCTGACACGCCGACTTTGCCCGCCCAGACGCCATCGCTCTACCCCGCCGACCGGGCGCAGAGTGCCTGCACACCATGTCGGACGGCGGCAACATCAAGGTCGTCGTGCGGTGTCGGCCCATGAACAGCAGAGGTGCGTACCATCCCCACGAGGCACTGCTCGCCGAGCATCGCCGCCTCACCCGAGCTCGCCTGACGACACCTCGCCCTCGCCCCCCGCTCCCACTTCGCTTCCCTTCGACAGAGAGGACAAGAGGGGCCACCAACCTCATCGAGTTCAACGGCGACAAGCAGGTGAGCATCGCCATCCGGCCCCCCGCCGCCGCTCGGACCTTGGCATCGATCCGAGCTGCCTCCCGCCGACTGACCGCTCCCGCATCCCCTACGCCGCACCGCAGCTGGTCCTCTCGCCGCCGCAAGAGGGCGACACAAAGGAGAATGCCAAGGCGTCCAAGAAAAAGTCGATGCCCTTCTCGTTTGACCGCGCCTACGACGAAAACACCGAGCAGAGCACCCTCTTCAACTACATCGGCATCGAGCTCCTCGAGCATGCCTTCAACGGCTTCAACACGGTGAGCGCCGCCGCCGCCCGGCTGCGGCCAGCGCGACGACGGTCGAGCCCAATCGCCCGCACGTGCTGACCCGCCCCTGCCCCCCGACGCCCGACTCCCCTCATCCCACTCGACAGTGCGTCTTCGCGTACGGCCAGACGGGCTCGGGCAAGTCGCACTCGATGGTGGGCTACGCCGAGGCCAAGGGCCTCATCCCGCTCACGTGCTCCAAGCTGTTTGATGACGTCGACGAAAAGATGGCGTCCGACCCGCACCTCAAGATCTCGGTCGAAGTGAGCTACATCGAAATCTACAACGAAAAGGTGCGCGACCTGCTCAACCCCAAGAACAAGGGCAACCTCAAGGTGCGCGAGCACCCGAGCCTGGGCCCCTACGTCGAGGACCTGAGCAAGCTGGTCGTGTCGAGCTTCCGCGACATCGAGAACCTCATGGACGAGGGCAACAAGGCGCGCACGGTGGCCGCCACCAACATGAACGAGACCAGCTCGCGCTCGCACGCCGTCTTTACGCTGGTGCTGACGCAGAAAAAGTTTGACCCGGGCACCAAGCTCGAGGCGGAAAAGGTGTCGCGCATCAGCCTCGTCGACCTGGCCGGATCGGAGCGTGCCAACTCGACGGGCGCCACGGGCGCGCGTCTCAAGGAGGGCGCCAACATCAACCGCTCGCTGACGACGCTGGGCAAGGTGATTGCGGCGCTCGCCATCGCCAGCGGCGAGCCGGCGGCCAAGGGCAAGAAAAAGGCGGCGCTCGAGAGCTTTGTGCCGTACCGCGACTCGGTGCTCACCTGGCTCCTCAAGGACAGCCTGGGCGGCAACTCCAAGACGGCCATGATCGCCGCCATCTCGCCGGCCGATTACGAGGAGACGCTGAGCACGCTGCGGTACGCCGACCAGGCCAAGAAGATCAAGAACAAGGCCGTGGTCAACGAGGACCCCAACGCCAAGCTGATCCGTGAGCTCAAGGAGGAGCTCGAGATGCTGCGCACGCGCGTCTCGGGCGGCGGCGGCGTCGAGGGCGAGGGGACGTGGGACCCGACGGTGCCGCCCGAGAAGCAGGTGGTGCGCTACCAGACAAAGAGCGGCGAGATCAAGACGGTGACCAAGGCCGAGCTCGAGGAGCAGCTCGAGCAGTCGGAAAAGATCATGAGCAGCCTCAACGAGAGCTGGGAGGAGAAGCTCCAGAAGACGCAGGAGATCCAAAAGGAGCGCGAAAAGGCGCTCGAGGAGCTCGGCATCTCGGTCGACAAGGGCAACGTGGGCGTCCACACGCCCAAGAAGCTGCCGCACCTCGTCAACCTCAACGAGGACCCGCTCATGTCCGAGTGCCTCATCTACCAGATCAAGCCCGGGCGCACCCTGGTCGGCAGCCTCGAGAGCAGCTCCGAGGTCCAGATCAAGCTCAGCGGCACCAACATCCTCGCCGAGCACTGCATCATCCAGAACGACGACGGCGCCGTCACCGTCGAGGCCATGCCCGACAGCATGACGATGGTCAACGGCAAGCGCCTCACGCCCGGCGAGCCCAAGCGGCTGCGCTCGGGCTACCGCGTCATCCTCGGCGACTTCCACGTCTTCCGCTTCAACCACCCGGAAGAGGTGCGCAAGGCGCGCGACCGCGTCAAGTCGACCCTCGCCCTGTCGACGGGCGACGGCGACAACGAGACGCTGGCCGAAGGCGAGTCGCCCGCCACCCGGCCCGACTCGCCCGCCTCGGGCGACGTCGACTGGACCTATGCGCGGCGCGAGTACGCCATCGCCCGCCTCAACGGCCAGGACGTCAACTTCGACAACCTCAACGAGGAGGACCTCGAGAAGCTCTTTGAGGACATTAGCAAGGCGCGCCACAAGAAGTCGATCGTCGGCGGCGGCCGCCCCGAGAGCCGCGCCAGCTTCCTCGACGACAACGCCAGCGAGTCGGCCAGCTCGTTTGTGCGCCACTACTCGCTCGGCGCCATGACCGACGACACCAGCATCGACCCGTGGAGCCAGGGCGGCAGCGACTTTGGCTCGATGCGCGTCGCCGGCGACGGCGCCACCCCTGCCTCGGCCGCCGCCGCCGCCAAGGAGCCGCGCAGCGAGACGGAGACGCTCAAGATGAAGGTGCGCGAGTACGAGGAGCGCTTCACGCGCATGGCGGCGTCGTCTCCCGGCCTCGACTCGCCGCGCCTCGACTTCAAGGTCGAGTACACCGACGAGCAGAAGCGGCTGATCCGCTGGGTGCTGGGGCGGTGGCGCGGCCACACGACAGTGTCGATGGCCGAGGACGCGCTGTCCAAGGCCGTGCTGGTCAAGGAGGCCAACGTCATCAGCAAGGAACTGGGCAAAGATGTCACCTACCAGTTCACCGTCGTCGACGACGTGCCGCTGGCCAACCCGACGTCCAACGTCGAGGCCATCGCCGGCCTCACCGAGTTTGACGACGTCGCCGATCCGGACCTCGCCCGCAGCGCCAAGCCCTGCATGGCGGTCAAGGTGCTCGACTACGCCCACACCACGGCCTACGTCTGGTCGATTGCCAAGTTTGAGCAGCGCCTGCAGAAGATGCGCAACCTGTACACCTTCATCGACAAGCCCGAGTACTCGCAGCACTTCAACTGGGCCGACCCGTTCTACGAGACGCCGACGCCGTCATACACCTTCGTCGGCAGCGCCCTGATCCCGCTCAACCCGCTCTCGCGCCACGTCACGGCGCGCTACCGCCTGCCCATCCTCAGCCGCCACACGGGCAAGCGCATCGGCTCGTGCTCGGTCCAGCTCAAATTTGTCAGCCTCTCGCTGCCGGCGGCCGCCAACGGCCGCAACGGCCACGCCAACGGCGAGGCCATGTCGCCCACGCCCTCGTCAACCGGCAGCGGTTCCCGCAGCGGCGCCGAGGCCGACCTGCCCGCGGGCCACAAGCTCGGCCTGCAGCTCGTCGTCGACTCGGTCTCGGGCATCTCGCGCGACGACTTTGCCAGCGTCCACATCCAGGTGCGCCTGAGCTCGCTTGCCGGGCCGACGATCGCCAAGGACGAGGTGTACCCTTCCATCCCCACCGAGCTCGCCGACGACGGCTCGCTCTCGGACGTGCGGCTGCGGCGGACCATCTCGTTTATCCTCACGCCCGAGACGGCGAGCTGGATGCGCAACGGGTTCGCGCCCATCGAGTTCCACGCCAAGGTGCGGCCCGACTACCTGGCCGCCCTCGAGCGGCACGATGCCGACCGCGAGGCGGCCAGGGTCAGGCCGGGAGCGAGCGCCGATGCGGACATGTCCTTCGAGCCGGCGCCGGCGCCGTCGCCGTCGCCGTCACCCCGCACCGACGCACTGACAACCGCCGAGAGGCCGGAGCTGGGTCGAGCGACGACCTCGCAGGGGCGGCTCTCCGAAAAGGAGATGGTGTCCGAGGAGAAGCACCACATCCTCGCGTTTGTCCAGATCTGCGAGCTCGACGCCTCGGGCGAATACCGGCCGGTGCCCGTCAAGGCGCAGTCGACGCTCGACCCGGGCTGCTTCTTCCTGCGCCAAGGGCTGCAGCGCAAGCTGGTCATCAACCTGTCGCACGACAGCGGGCGGCAGTTCAACTGGACACGCTTCAGCAAGATCGAGCTGAGCGACGTGCGGCTGCTCGATCCGCGCGGGCGGGTGCACGGCTCCAAGGTGACGGATCCGATCGCGCTCAAGGCGCCGGGCAAGCAGCAGGGCGTCGAGTTCCTCAGCAACGGCACGAGCGAGCTGAGCCTGTGGGCGTGGTGGGACAGCAGCGTCCACGACAGCCTCTACCTCAACCGCGTAACGGCGGCCAACCACCGCGTGCTGCTGCAGCTCAACTTTGAGGTCGACGTCGAGTCGTGCGCACGGCCGGTGCGCTTCGCCATGGACATTGCGCTCTCGATCAACGGGCGCGACGCCAAGCCGCCGGGGCGCCTGATGAGCTTACTCGAATCGGCCACGAGCGGCAGCCGGACGCTGGCCAAGGCGAGCGCGCTCTTCAGCGTGCGTCTGGTGCCGCCCATGACGAAGCGGACGCGCGAGCTGTGGCGGCTCGACACGGCGACCAAGTACGTGCGCGGGCAGGAGACGCTGCGCGGGTGGAAGGCGCGCGGCGTCAGCCTCGTCCACGACCACGACCGGCTCGTCCGCACCGAGC